TTCTAATTAGATTATATCAAAGATATTAATGAAGTTCGACCTGGTTTTGGTCATCAAACATTTGGTCGTCTACTTAAAAAACGTCTTATCAAGGATACTGATGTAAATATTTTCAGAGAAAAATATCTTTATTTCTTTTAATAACAAGACAAACAAGAAAATTCTTCTTATTTATTCAGGAAAATCTTGTATTTTCAATAATGTATAATAATCATCGAAGCGAAGTTCATTTGATGGCACCAAATAAACGTGTTAGAGATTTATGGATAACAGGTTTACAAAGTTTAATTGATCGACATGCACGAAAAAGTCAACGTGATTTAATTCATGAAGAAAAGTAGAATATTATTTTTGTAATATGAATTTAAACAATGAATTTTTGTTTTGTTAAAGTTGGATTTTAAATTATTTTCGTGCGGCTGATAAAGATAAATCAAATTCATTATCAAAACGTGAATGTCGAAAATTATTAACTGAATCTCTTAATGTTAAAGTACCTGATGATATATTTGAAAGACTTTTTGAAGTAACAACAAAAAAAATTTTTGTTTTATTTATAAATATGGTTGTTTTTTGAATTTTTTTAGAAAGCAGACAAAAGTCAAGAAGGTTTACTAAGTCCTGAAGAATTTTGTGATTTTTTTCATTTATTAGCTCAACGTAAAGATCTCTATGAAATCATGAAAAAGTAAAATAATTTTCTATTATTCAAACTTATTATTATTATTCATATAGATATACTAAAAATGGACATACACAATCAATGGATACGATTCATATGAATGTAAATGAATTATTATCATTTTTACGAACAGTTCAAAATGTAAATTTAGTTTTTTTTTTCTTTTGAATTAATTACAATTCTAACTTTAATTTATCTATTTAGCAAAAATTATTAATAAATATTACAACTGATAATGGTCAAAATAAAATTATATCTAAAATCGAAAAACCAGAACAAGTAAAAAAATTAATTGATGAATTCGAATTGGATAAGGAATTTAGAGATAAAAGCCAATTAGGTCTTGATGGTATGTATAATTATATAGTTTTTACAAAGTCCGTAATATTAGTTAAAACTATCTAAAAAGTTGTCTAACGAGGGGACATTTTCAATTGATCAATCGCTTTTGAATTCGAACTTTATGCATAAGGTAGACTCTAGTAAAATAGGAAAAAATTTGAAAAGGATAAGTTTCCTTAGATCTTCTATCTAGAGTTATAGACATTTTACTAGAATTTTATCCTCTGGTTTGGTATATAACAACACATGGAATGACACTATTTCGACCTAAGATTTCGCTTACAGAAAGACCTATTTGACAATAGACTGTTCTGCAAATTTCAGCTCAAAAGAATATTTTCTTTCCGAAATATTAAAGTTACAAAAATCATTCATACGCCATGAAAGCTGCTAGAATTTTCTTTTTTTAGAACTCTGGTATCTCGCGAAGGAAATAATCTTTTGAGCTGATATTTTCAGAATATTCTACTGACAAATAGATCTGTCTGTGAATAAAATTTCAGGTCGAAATACCATCATTCGATGTGTTGCTATATACTAAGGCACAAGCTAAAATTTCAGTAAAATATCTATAGCTCTATATAGATGGTCTAAGGAAACTTCTCCTTTTGGTTTTTTTTATATATCATCGGGGTCCACCTGATGCAAAGAGTTCGAATTCAAAAGTGATTGATCATTTGAAAACGTTTGCTCGTGAGATGTAACTAAGAAGACATATCAAATTTAAAGAATCTTTATTTTATCAATCTTCTATAAGTAACATAGGTAGCCGAGCTACGAGTTTTAGGTAAGCCGAAGCTTATCCTAGATTAAGATACCGTAGGTTTCAAATATTTGTTTCTCGTTCCATCATATTAATAGATTTATGTAGTGCATTGAAATTTTTATACAAATCACAAAATTGTTCTCTGCCTTCAGTAGGAAATAGTAACATTTTCTTAGTAAAGTAGACTTACGAGTGAGCCTCCTTAGATGTCCCCTTTGGATTTCAATAATGCTTTTGCCTATAGATATTTCATAGCGTTGTAATAAAAACTCTAAAAAGATTCGAATTCCTATTGAGATAATTAAATATATTGAGTTCTACATTACCAATGACTTGAGGTAGTACTTCTTTGTTACAAATGAAGAAGAACTCGACGCGAAACTCGAGTTAGATAAACCAAAAGCCACCGAAAATATTTTCTTCAGCTTCATTGACTAAACTTACATGTCTAAGCAAGTATTTTCAATAAAGTGAACAAACCCACAATGTAATCTCTCTCTTTTGTTTTGTGAATACTACTTGTTCATCATTATTGTATTTTTGTGTAAAACTAGATCGAAAACTCTTCATGCAAGAATCGAAATTAAATAAAAAACAAATATTAGCGTGTTTCTTTAAGTACCAGTCTTTTGACAAAAGTTACGATTTTTTCTGAACTGTACTAGTAGATTTGTATACTGGAAAATATACGTTGAAAATAAAAAGCACTAATTGTATTTCATGGGAGTGGCTTAAAAAGATTTATCCTTTTCCTCCCTATTCCTAACTTTCCAATGAAAATTTTATGAAGATTTTTAACCCTATCCTAAATTCAAATCCTTCCACCACCTATGGTAAAGAAGAAGAATATCCCTACGTTGTAATATGGGGCACTGTCTGGCGGTGCGTTCAATAGCCCGATATCTTTCCTACAACTTAGGGATGCAACAAATTCTTATTTTTTGTACAAAGATCGAAAATTTTCTGAATGAAAACCCACCAAATCTTCATGTCAATTATGATCAGTTTCAATCGCTCTATCTGATACTGATATTTATTAACCAAACCCCTGTCAAATCGTGCGTAGGATTTGGTGGGATTTGTTAAATATATCACTATTTTCACCAAATTCTGCCAAATCTTACGCAAGATTAGGTAGAGATTCGGTAAATAAATACCAGTATCAGAAAGAGCAATTAAAACTTATTATAATTGACACGAAGATTTGGTGGGTTTTCATTCAGAAAATTTTCAATCTTTGTACAAAAAATAAGGATTTGTTGCATCCCTACTACAACTATGACGAGCTATAGCTCTGGACAGAAGGTCTCCCTGATACAGAGTTCTTGCGATCAATGCTTGAGCTTCGCATACATAATCACTAGGCACAAGAGGAAATCTATGTCCCAATGTAATCAGCATGCTATAGAACGGATGATTTCAGGCAAACAACCGTTAGAAAGTTGTCCAAGATCATTCTATGGCTGGTGGTACTAAGGTTTGATACAGTACCTTGCGGATACGTGTCAAACACCGCAGCCAGTCAGTCATGGCAACAAGTCGCTTATGATAAGTAGTGATGTGCAGAGCTAGTTCTCGTTTCAGATCTATAGTTCTCTAAATGGAGACTGTATAAAACATATTTCTCTGTATTATGTATATTTTAAAAAATAAATATCGATCATATTTTTAACTTAACATAAACTAGCATTATTGATTGCCTTTTAATTGATGTAATTGAAAATAGTTTTTCAGTCATGATGACATAGTAGACATAAATAAAATTTAATTTTATCAAGACTTTGTTTTTTTTTAGGCTTTCGAAATATGTTATTATCCAATGATTTTGATATAGTAAAACCATTATGTTCTCGTCAGATATATCAAAATATGACAAGGTACATTCAAGTGAGAAGATATATATTATTTCAATTAATATAATTCTCTCTTATCTAGACCATTATGTGATTACTATATTAATACTTCACATAATACGTAATATTTTTTTCTTCATAGAATTTATTATTTATATAAACAAATTATTTTTAGTTATTTATTCTACAGTCAATTATCTGGTGATAGTAATCCAGAAGCTTATAATCGAGCATTATTAGCTGGTTGTCGAGCTGTTGAACTTGACTGTTATGATGGTCATAATGGTAAACCAATAGTTACTCATGGATTTACACTTGTAAAACCATGTTCATTCGAATCAATTATTCGTTATATGGAACCAAATCTTTTTAAAAAATCACCGTAAAAGAAAATTGATATTAAAAATTTCTATATTTTATCTATTAATTAATTTTCTTTTCATGTGTATGTGTATTCTATAGATATCCAGTTATTTTAAATATAGAAAATCATTGTTCAATAGAACAACAAAAAGAAATGGCTCGAATATTACGAGAAATTCTTGGTGGTAAATAGAAACTTATATGAATTATATTTAATAAAATATTTTTCTTTTTTATTAAGATCGATTGGTTACAGGACCATTACCTAATAAAGATTCAAAAGTTTTACCATCACCTGAAGATTTAAAATACAAAGTTCTTATTCGTGTAAGCATTCAATTAGGTTTTTTAATAACAAAACAATCTCTGCTGATTTTTATTAGAGTAGAAAAAGTACAAAAACAGCAAAACGAAATTCAACAACACCATTAGAAGATGATGATGATGTATTTTCTGAACTATTAAGTAATGTATGTTATCATTGATATATATTTCATTTAAGAATTTTATAATTCATAATTGTTTGAACATAATGAATATATTATTATTAATAATATTAGTCATATATACATCCCTGGAAAAAATTGTTATAGTCATTTTTTTAAATATATTGTCATCATAAAAACATATTTAAAAAGAATAGTTATATATCTTGAAAGGCCTGAAAGTTTTCCATCGTCCTGTATATTTATGTTTTAACTTAGCACCCTCATTATCAAATTCTCACGGACTAAATTTTGTTATTGTCTTCTGAGAGAATTTTTAAATTTATTATTATTAGATGTGAAAAGATAATTCTAATATGATCGTTTGTATTCAGAATTTTCTCCCCTTCTAAATAATGTATAAAAGTTTGAGAATAAAATGATCTACGCCAGATAAAAATGTTACACATCATTCGTTATCAGTTCTAATCACATTTACTCTTGAAACTTCTTGGTCGCCACGAATGTGTCGCAGTTTCTTCTGCCATATATCATTGTAATTCTAGAGTATTGTACATCATTTTGAATAGAAGAAAATTCTGAATACAAAGGATCAAATAGAATTACTCTTTCACGCCTAACATTGTATTTCTTTCTTATTTTTCGTTTAAATTCTGATAAATAATGTGAGTATTAGATAGACATATTCATTGAGAAACCTTTCAAAACTGCTTTTTTCTGTGCTCACTCTCTTTTACGAAATACGATATAAAATGAGTGTTGAAATGTATAGAGTGGTGATTTCTCCCTCCTTCCTTTCTACAGATAATGCCGGATATTATCATGGAAAACGTCACAGACGAAATCGACAGACACTTTAGGAACGACTCATCACCTACACCGTATATGAGCTACTGCCTTATTGCATTTCTTTAGGATTAAGTAAAAGAATACTGAAGAAACGAGTCCCAGAATAGATAAAATAAAATAATCTTCCAGTATTTGGCAACAACAGGTACATCGTGTTTCACATTTTAATACCGCAGAGATTGCGCTAACAGTTGCTTTTTATTTCGAGTTTAGATTTTCAAACATGTAACTACATATTCTGGTAGAATTGGGAGCTCTCTATCTTACTAAGCTTTTGAAATTAGAAAAAAAACAAAGAAATAGTTTAAACATCGAAGTATTTAGATTTTGTCAATAAGTGTGCTTACGTAATACTCACAGTATTTATTAGACCATAAATATTAGATATAGCACAACTATATAGGATAGCAGAGAATGTCAAACTCTATTAGAATACATAATAATTTTAGCAAAAATTTATTCTCATAAGGAGTAATAAACTTGAAACGAAAACTATAAATGTAGAGAAAATATGCAGATTTTTGGTATTTATCAAGTGACAGTAGATCCAATGTGCTCAACCTTTCTTACCAACAAACAAACACAAGATAATAGATAAATATGCTGGGTGATGGAAAACTTCCAGTACTTTCAGAATATACAAAATATTTGTCCTCAGAGGTATATATATGTAGACGTTTATCCTTTCCACGCACTGAACGAATAATACAAAATAAAAAGCAAAGAAAAATATTGTTTAAGCCTCAAAAATTTTGAAAAATATTTTTGAATATTTAATATTTTAGAATGTTCAACATGATCCATCTGAATTATTTGTTTATTTACAAAATGTTTCATATTGTGACAATGATTATGCTAAAACTCACTGTAACTTATGAAAATTTTATCTAAAAAAACAGCACAGATTTTTTTTTGAAACAGATTCACCATGGCATTCATCATCATTAGTTGAAAATCGTTTTGAAAAAATTACTCGTGATAATCCATCTAGTTTAATTTTACAAACAACATGGCGTATTATTCGAACTTATCCCGCTGGTTTTAGACATGATTCTAGTAATGCTGATCCAGTAAATGCTTGGAATTATGGTATACAAATGGCTGCTTTAAATTATCAAAATAAAGATGATGTTATGCCATTATGCTATGGAAAATTTCTTGATAATGGTGGTTGTGGTTATATTCTCAAACCAAAATATTTAATTAATGCATATGAAACACATTATGATCCATTAAATCCTAAACTTAATCTTGATTTTCCTCAAATTTTAACACTAACAATAATAAGTGCACAATTTTTATCTCGATCAAATTTAACAACATTAGATATACCAGATCCATATGTACGTATATCGATACATGGTTTACCTTGTGATCAACAAACACAAAAAACAAAAGTTATTTCAAATAACGGTTTAGATCCAATATGGAATGAAAAATTCTCCTTTAGAATAAAATATCCAAAAATGGCACTTGTATATTTTTCTGTTTATGATTACGATGCATTTACACCTGATGATAAACTTGCACATTTTTGTTTACCATTAACAATGATGCAAACAGGTTAAACAAAAAGAGTTTCTTTTTTTTTTTAATAAACTCTTATCAATTTTAAAATATAATGTACTCGATTGTTTTTCGTTTTGAATAACTTTAGATAGGAACATCATAGAGACCTGCAGTTTTCACCATTCAAGAGAGAAGATCCAGAGTTCATCGAAGTATATTAAAGTTTCATGGGTCAGCAATCGACCAATCAGATGAGTTGTTGATGAAGATTTTCAAAAACGATATTCTAAAGTTATTTTTCTTTCAGTTTAAACTTTTAATAGAATTAATCAATAGAAAACATCCTTCTTTTTCGATCTACACAAGGTCGATATTCTTAACATATACTGTTTGATAGTTATAAGACTTTTTCTGGAACTTCAGATTCCAGCCAATTGACCTATGATCATACCTGGAAAAGTAGTTAGACAGGGATAATTCCCCATACTGAGTCGAATGGTGATATTTGTTTTTAGGTTGGAAATGATCTTACTCTGTTATCTCCATATTTTTGAAATTCTACAATCAGCTTCTATGTAATAAAGGAGTCGACATTTCGGAAATATTGAGATAACAGAGGCAAATCTTTTCGAATCTAGACAACAAATATTATCATTCGGCTTAGCATGGTGAAATACTCTTGTCTAGCTGCTTTTTCAGGTGATTACAGATCAATTGGTTGAATTCGAGGAGTCTCAAGAAAAGCTTTATAACTTTCGAATGGAACAAATTAGGAATATTGACCTTGATTAGATCGATAGAGAAGAATTTTTTTCTATTGCTTAGTCCGTTTAATGTCTAAATCGATAGAAAAATAACTTCAGAATATCATTTTTCAAAAAATTCCTATCAAGAACTCACCTGATTAGTTAATTGTTGATCAATTGAATTCCGATATATTTCCGATGGTCCTGGGTCTTCTCTCTTAAACGATGAAAACCACAGATTCCTGTGATGTTTCTATCAAAAGTTATTCAAAACAAAACAGTGGAGTACACTAGATTTTGAAATGAATGGTATTTATTATCATTTTATTTTTCTATAGGCTATCGTCATATTCATTTACGAGCTAATAACAATGATCCAACTCATTCAACTTTATTCGTTCACGTTGATATTGAAGACGATGATGACAATATTCTTTGTACACGATTGTAATATTTGTATCGATGCAGATTTTGTTGTTGGTTTTTTTTTTGTTAGCTAACGCTTTCATAAAGTGTGAAATATCACAAAAAATTCTTTTTTTTTTATTTATCTTTTGATCATAATATTCTTTCTTATACTTAACGATGAAACAAATAGAACAGAACAAGACAAAAATAAAACGTTTAAGCAAATATAGGTGTCGGTGTTTGAACATGTCCTAATTTTCTTTTAATATATTCAACTTCACCACCATATTTACAAACAGCAACTTTCATCATTGCAAGTATATTATGTGCAGCTGTATTATGATCATGTATACCACCATAAAATGGAACAGTTGCATCTTTACCAATATAATTTTTAATTATAGTTCGACCACCAGGATGTGAATCAATAAAATGACTAACATCATGAATAAAACCAGCAATTAATATTAAAGCACGACCATCATTTTTCTTAGATAATTCTTGATATTCTTCAAATGTAATAATAGGTAATTGAGAATTTTGTTTAGGCCATGTTATAGTTTGACCAAATTTATCTAATGCTTTACATGTCATTGAATAACGACCTTTTTGTATTTCATTATGAGGAAATTCTTTTAAATTACTAGCAAGATGAATTTTTTTAAAAAATTTTATTAATAATTTTGTTGGATCATATTGAAACCATTTAAGTGCATTACGATAATCAGATGGAAATTCATGATGAAAATTATGATAACCTTCACCAAGTGTAATAAGAGCTGTTATAAAATGATCACGTGGTGTATGTCGATCATCAAATGGTGCATTACCTAAATAATGTGCTAATGAATTAACACAAAATGTTGAATGATGTACAAAAACAAGACGAAGAACACCAGCAAAAAAATAACCACCACGATAATCATTCCATCCAAATCCACATATAATTGTAGGTAAAACAAATGACATTAAAAATGCTAAACTTATATAATTTTGATGTTGCCATTGAACACTTGAATCATGTATTAAATCAGTAACATCAGCAACACCAGGTTTTCGACGAGATTTAAATAATAACCAACCAATATGAGAATAAAATATACCTTTATGTGCATTATATGGATCAAGATCAGTATCTGTATAACGATGATGTGCTCGATGACCACGTGACCACCATTGTGCTGATCCTTGAACAGCACCAGCACCTAATATAAGTAAAATATAACGTAAAGGTAATGTTGCTTCATAAGCTCGATGAGCAAATAAACGATGATAACCAGCTGTTATACCAAAACCAGTAAGAAAATACCATAAAAGAGTAAAAACAGCTGTTTGCCATACAAAACATGTTGTAAAAAGTCCATATAATGCAATAAAAGGTTCAAGACATAATAATGTTGCTTGTGGCCAATTAACTTCTTTATACCAATTTGACCATGTTATAGGTGGTAATGCAGATTCATTTAATAATGTTCGTTTTACATAATTATTTTTAATAAAATCTTCTTCTTTTTCTTTTTCTTCTTGTTCAACATTCATTGTTGATGATGCATTTTGTTCAATAGTTAATATTGGTAAATCTAATGGTTTTGGTACATATGATAAAGACATACCTGATTTATTTAATTCATCCATAACATACACTGTTTTGATAGAAGAATGATCGAACGAATTAGTTTTCTTTTTTTTTTTTTTTTATCTAGAAAATTATGATCATCAATCATATGAAGAACACCTTTGTGAATCTATGTAGTCGGAATTTATGAAAGCTTTCATTTATTTTTTTTTCTTCTATAACGTTGTATTATACCTGGCTGCTTTTATTTGTTCTACACATCAAATTTCCTTCGAAACAGACGGGCAGACAGAAAGAGAAATAGGGTGATCACGTCGTACACAACAAATATGTCGAACAAAATCAGCTTCTCTCTGCATGACATAAAATTAACAAACGAAAGATGTATTACTTTAATGTTCTTTTCTATTTTTAATCAAAATTAATCATTATGATTATCTAAGAAATTAATATATAAGAAAAAAAATATGTATAATGTAATTCAAGATTATATAGAATTATCAATCATTTTCTTTAAGAATATTTAATAAATACAAATGTTTTAATTATCACGATAAATAAATATTTATTTTATCTAGTATAATATAGTTAATTTCTTCAAGATAATTCAAAAACAAATATATATATACTGTGGGAGACAAGCACAATACATGCATTGTTGACTAACTGTGAATATGATATCAAATAGATGTACTGTCTGGATACTATTCTAGCAACAAAAAAAAAATAATTTGAACATATGATACAAAGAAAGATTTCTTTTTTTCATGCATTTATGAGAAAGACTTATATGAGTTTTTGTGAAATGTAACAATAGGAAAAATAATCAGAGAATCATAGATTGAATTGTGTCGAACATTTTAAAAGTAATTGGAGAAAAATAGAAATTAGACAATTGTCGCAATGTTATAAAATAATAAAAACTAGATCTGAAAATTCTTTCTTATAATTATTAATCACAGGTGTAATAAAAATGAGTATAAATTAAAAATTTCTTTCATCATTACGAGTCATTGTATTTCAATTTTATTTTTTACTTTATCAAACCCTTGAGTGTTACTAAGTTTACCGAGAAATATTGTCATTTGTTGTTTTTTTTATAAGTTATGACGCACTTTGAAAAATATAATGTCCGTTAAACACTTCGACTTATTCTACCCTAGATTTTTCTTTCTTTTTTTCTTCTTTTGTAATCATTTTCTCTTCACTATTCAAGTGACTTATTTGTTTTTCTCTGTCGATTTTCTTTCAGCATCAAATGAATGTATAAAAACAAATCTACTGTCTATTTTTATCACATTGTCACCTATTCTATATTTATTATCAATCATGATTTTTGATTAGTATTCTTTCAATCATAAAACATCAGAATTGTCGATTATTAATTTATTTTTGTGTACTGGAAATAGATTGTTGTTTTTGTTGAAAAAAAAATGAACTATTTATTTTCGTTTTTCAAATTAATCATAACACTTAATTCTTACACTTCATAGACTCCATGCAATGAATAGATAACATAACTGTTTCTTCTATCTTAACATGATTATACCTAACAATAGATTTTTTATTTTATTTTAAATTATAAATAGTGTCACTTCATTTTCATAATACATTCGAAAAATCAAAAAGTGTTTGTGAAGTCTATAGGAACATTTCTGGAACATTTCTGCTGAAACATACTTACGAAGTAATTATTTATGTTTTAATTTTTCTACTTTCGGAAATCAAATCTTTAGCGTGTGTTATATTAGAATTAAATAATTATTCTAACTAATATTATCATAAATATTTGAGTTATATATATATAATAAAGACTGAATTCGATTTTCTATTGAAATAAAATTTTGCTTTAAAAATAAAATGATTTTAGTCTAAGAAAATGATCGTATGAACATGCGGATAGATATTCTTATCAACGAGTACATTAAACATTTTTTCTATAGTAATATAAATACACAATATTATTGTTGTAACTATCAAACATAAATGAAAAAACTAATACAAAAAAAAAAAACTAATAATGGATGTCAATTCGTATTTGAATATTTTCTCGAAAACATTGTTGATTTATCTGTAAACACTCGAATACTTAAGAAATACTGTTTTTCCAATAGAATATTTTCGATTTTATATATTATTCCTTAATTTTCACAAAAAATCTATCTTTTTATCATTAAGCAAATATCTACTCATAGTCATTTCATTGAAATTAGATTCCGAAATCAAAGTAATATTCATGAAAGAGAATTGTTATCAATAGTCTCTTTAAAATTTTTATGCCAGACTTACCATCCATACAATACTTTTTTTTCTACTTGTTTAAAGTTAAATCAAATAAAATTTCTCGTAAACTTGATTAATATTGAACAAAATATACTTCTCTGTTCACGATAAACATCTGTTATTTGGCAACACATTATAAGGAAGAAAAGTTTGTTTACTTAAATTATAAAAACTTTTCATGTCTTCTCATTTGTCAATATAAAATTGCAATTCAAAATTAGTTAAATTCAATCTCAATTGTTTTTTTTTTGTAATTAAAAATTATTCAAATAGAAAACAATCTTAAATTTCAAATTTCCGTTTTTTCAAAATTTACTGATAACAATTTAATAAAACTAGTATCTCCAATTTCACTTTCAACTAACTACAGTTTATAGAATTCAGTAGAATAATTGTTACTACGAATGTCATGAACTTTTTCTTGAACTTGAACACATCATCTACTAATTGACATTTTAATATGGAATCAAACATCAAATGAACATAAACTAATAGTCGATATGAAAGAGGATTTATATACAAAAACTAAAAATACAGAAAACAATGTTCAAAAAAAAAAAGACGACTTTCAAATACGGGTGCTGGTGAGCATCTTCTCTTCATCTAACTTACACCCGCAATAAATATGAGTCACCACTATAAATTACGATAGAACCTCTTTGAAATCTCGCTTTAACTTTAATTAAAATTTTTCTTAGCTAAGCCCAAATCGATGACTTTTGTTCGTGCATTATGAGTGTTACTTAATCAATAATAAAAAAAGCAAATCAGCTACCCAGTAAATATTTATCCAAAATATTTAGTTCTCTTTCATAAAAATCATCTTACATTCAACCGATAATAATAATAATTTATTTTAAGACCAGTTATTATATGCATATAATCCTTGATAAATACTATTTATAGAAAAATCATCATATCATCCTTTATACGATGATACAGCTCTCTACATATCACCTCAAATCTATCTCAATCGAAAACTTCTTTGGTTAAAAGCTCATATCCTATATATATTACATCTCATCCTTTAAGATTAAAAAATTTGTATTGAACAAAAATTCATGTCATCAACAAATTACACTAAGTTTTATAACGAAAATCTTTATTTAACAAAAAACTTACGTTCTCTACAAATTGCGACATCTCCACGTAATTCAAAAATTTTCTCTAATCAATAACTCACGTCCAGAGAAATTGCAGTAACTTTTGAAATAAAATAACTTTTCATTGAAACTTTTTAAGACGATTTATTTTCTATATATTCTTTCATTGATCTAATCTTTAAAAGTTAACTATCAAATCTACTCGTTTTAAAGAGATATAAACTATATATTATAGATTATTGAAGAGCGATCTCTATCGATTTGTTCAATATTCTTATTGGCTTTTGTTTACAATTATCTCAAACAAAGACAGAATAGAAACTTACATTACATTACAAAAGCTTTTTTATATTATTAATTCATTGAAGTCTTTTCAGATATTGTTCATTTTTTTTTTGTTATACATTCTCTTTATTCAAATCTAACATGACAGATAATCTTTCAAAAAGTATTAAATCAACTGAACATGAATTATCTTGGGCAAATCGAGGTCTAAAAGGCAATAGTGCTGCTGATGGTAATCATATTTAATTCATTAAAAGACTAAAGTAATTTTTTCTTTGTTTTTTTTTTTTGAATATGAAATCTAGTCAGAGAATTGTGTAATGAAATTGAAAAGTACAAACCATTAAAAGCATTACGTCTTGAAGGTAATACAATAAATGAAGAAGCAGCAACAGCTATTGGAAAAGCTTTAGAAAAACATAATGAAATTCAAGTAAATATCTAATATACTTTCCTTGAAGTTAATTCGATTGAATTGACTTTTAGCGTTTAATATGGAATGATTTATTTACAACTCGACTTAAAACTGAAGTACCACCATCATTAGTAAGATTCACATTTTTTTTTTGATTTAATAAAGTTTCTTTTTATTTTTACTTTCTAATAGATTAAATTAACAAAAGGTCTTTTAACAAATGGCTCTCATATAATTGAAATAAATTTAAGTGATAATGCTTTTGGTCCTATTGGTGTTAAAGGTCTTGAAACATTTCTTTCATCATCAGCATGTTATACACTTGAAGAACTTCGTTTAAATAATTGTGGTATGGGTAGTATGGGTGGAAAAGTAAATGAATTATTCTTTTATTAGAAAGGAAAAAAATGTAATAAGATTAATTATAATTTTTTTAAGTTATTAGCTGAAGCTTTAATTGCATGTCATAAGAATAGTATTGTATCTGGTGGAAGACAATTTGCATTAAAACAATTTATTGCTGGTCGAAATCGTCTTGAGATTGAAGGTGCACAAGCATTAGCAAAAGCATTTGAAGTAATTTTATATTTTATCTTTCATTTTCAAAATTAAGCTTAAATTTTTTTTATTAATTTAGATTATTGGTACATTAGAAGTAATTCGTATGCCACAAAATGGTATTCGACCACCGGGTATTGAAGCATTAGCTACAGCTTTTGTACGAAATCGAAATTTACGCATAATTGATCTTAATGATAATACAATAACGACAGCAGCAGCTAAATTAGCATCAGCTATTGGAAAATTACCTAAATTAGAAATAATCAATCTTGAATCTTCACTTATTCGTACTAAAGGTGCTATTGCTATTGCTCGTGCTATTGTTTCACATAAAAATCTTCAAGTATAGAAATGTTTTTTTTTTTAATAATATAGAGTTCTTTTATTTTTAAAGGAATTATATCTCGGATGTAATGATATGCATACGGAAGGTGGTCTTGAAGTTGCACGAGCTGTTAAAAATATGTCATCATTGAAAGTATTAGATTTAAATGGTGTGTATTGTATCATTTTTTCTTTGTATTTTAATTGATTAATATATTATAGGAAATTGCTTTGGTTTTGATGGAATCGATGAAATTCGTAATGTACTTGAAAATAAGAGTTTTATTAATCAAATGGCATTTAGGTAAATTTAACTCTCTTATAGGTTGAGAGATACTTGATTCATTTTGTTGAAAAAAAGAAAGTGATAGAGCTTTAGAAGTTTTGAAATTGAGAATTCATTGAATAAAAAGAAAATAAACTAAATCAGTTTTTAAAAAAGTGTTGAGAAAAATGAGATCATTGTTTTTGTAAATTCATATTTTCTTTCAATTTCTAAGCATTCGATCAGAAGGATCAAGCAAATCATAATTTTTATGCATGTATGATGATGTACTTGAAATGACGATACTTCTTCTAGATCAGTACCACAAAACAATAAATAATAGTCTTTATACGTCTTTGATTTGATCTGCAGAGGTTAGCTTTTATTTATTCATTAAATTCTATAAAGTCTACAATACAAGATGATCAATAACTCGAACAAGTTGCTAAATATCCGAGAATCTCCCATACTATCATTAGTTGTTCTTTTAAATGGATATATATTATTGGTTTTTTTTTGTTAGTGATGATGAAGGTAGTGATGAAGATGAAGAAGAAGATGATGAAAATGAAGTTGACGATGAAGAAGATAATGATGAAGATTATCAAGAAGCAGAAGAGGAACAACAAGAAAATGAACCTCCATCGTTCGTTCCCAATACAAATTCTACTCAAAAACATCTTGGTTTTCAATTTGGTGTTTCACCATCAATTTCATCGAAATCCGAAACTGTTAGTGGTCTATCTGACAGGATAGCAAAATTTGATTTTACTGCTAGTTCACCATTTAATTTTGGTTTACAATCAACAACTAACGTAATTTACATTAATTCATTTATTTTATTTTAATGATTTTTACTTATTTTAGAGTAAAGATAATAAATGGACAACATTTAATAATATTGATAAAGTTAAAGAACATTTAAAAGTGAGCAAAAGAAAAACATTGACGAAACAAATCTAAAAAAAATTATAAAACATTTTCCTAGAATGATGAACAATCAATTGAACGTGCTATAAAATTACTTGAAGATATATGGAATGATTATACTCTCTCACAAAATGATTGTTCTTCTATTGCTAGTAAACATTAAATACTTTGTTTATCTACAATTTAAATTTTTTACATATTCATAGAAAATATTTTAAAAACATTGACATTTACAACTACAAGTGAACGTAATTTTAACGAATGTTTACTTGTCTCGTTAGGCTTTGTTAAAGTAAGAAAAAGACATTTCGATTTTTTTGTTAACCAAAATTGTCTTGATTTTTATTTAGGACGAAAAAACGGGACGTCAACGTCGTACAATAAATCAACGTGATAAAATATATCAAACACTTATTGATATTAATCAACAATTACCTAAATCAACAAAAAATCTTCTCTCAATTTTTCTTCAAAATAATTCGTATGTATCTATTCTATCATTTTTCTTTTTTGTTTAACAATGAATTTTATTTTCAAAAATAGGAATGATCAAAATCAATGTTTATCTGGATTGAAACAGAAATTAGTAATGACAATAAAAGGATAATATATATATATATTTTTTTTTGTATCTGTATACTATGTCTATTTTTTGTTACAAAATTAAACAAGATTAATACAACTAGCGGTTCTTAAATGTTAGTTTTTTTGTGGTAAATACTCGAAACAAATCATAATTAAATTTGATATCTACCAGGAATCGAAATAAGACGCTCGACTTGAACGTTATTTCTCTTTTCAAGAAAGATGTCTCATGTAGAAAAACCGCAAGAAATCGGTTTTAATGTGATTTTTTTGTCAAAACTTCTTACATGAGTTTTACATCTCACAACTACTAACAATCACAAATCTTGATTATGCGAACATTTTGGAAGTTTCATGTAACTAATAACTAAAAGAAGAATATTTATTCAGTTCGATGACATTCTTTATCCATGTACAAGGCCGAGTGCATTATTAATGGAATTAAACGATATAAGTGTTAGCTGTATACAAAAATGAACAGTGTGACTAACGATAGTAACCAATCTGACTCTTTAAAATTGATCAGCGAGTATTTTACTCATGAGAGTTGATGCTGATAAATGACAGTCTTCAAGAAGTTGAAGTATCCACAAACGTAACTTTGTCTGTCGATTAAATAAATAATCCAACTTATCTCTCCTGCCATTTTTCCATTCAAGCACCAAAATGATTGGACCTTATTCCACTCGTGATCACTATGGTAATGAACTTATTACAATATTCTAATAAATGACTGTAGTATTTGTGAAATTTCGTCATGTAAAAATCTTTTTTTGTAAAAGAAATATACTTTTACCAGTGTTATTCTAAGTCGGGCTGAACCGAGTCAGCAAAAAGTGAGCCAATTTCGAGGCTTGGTATCTACTCAGGTGAAACAACACGATTAAACTACGATGATTTTCCATCTGAAAAGAGTGTTTGTATATGATACACGTATCATATTTACATCGTATAATTGAAGTGTCTGTAATTCATTACAGTTAGAGATAGAAGAAAACATTTGTTTTTTGTTGATGTCGAAATAAAATTACTATTAAGTATATTTCTTATAGTTGAAAATATCATTCTAGAATATATGAATATTTGTTGAAATTGTCGTTCCATTCTTAGGCTAATCGACAATAAGCATCTACTCTCATCTTAATTTTTTGTTATACTTTGTGCTTGTAAATCTTGCAGTTATTCTTCAGTTGGTTTTGTTGGAATTAAAAAGAATGCTATGTATTTTAAATTTAAAGTTTTTTTTAAGTAAAAAGTAAAGTATAACGATACATGAATCTTTTTTTTTTATAGAAACAGATGTTTTACATAGATATTCTCGAATGAATTTCATGAAGTTATGTGCATGATAGTTTATCTACATATTCGATATAATACTAATCAGTCATTCGTCGTAAATGCAAGGTTGGATTGATATGTGATGTGACTATTGTAACATTGTATGGATATTCAGATACATGTTTTAAATGAAAAAATCAAAAGAGACAAGTGAATAACAATGATGAGCAAGGATATTTTAATATTTTAGTGACGAACATCCATAGGCATTGGAATTGATGAAGGACAAAAAAACATAAAAAGTACATGAGTGATCACTCCGAAACCTTAATTGCAAAACAAGAGAAGATACATAATTTGATGGCACTCAAATTGGTTTTTTTTACCTATAGTTGTATAAAGAATGTCAGGTAGATGGTCATGATTAATCGATAGACAATGCTTCAAATGAGTAGTACATTTATTAATGACCCACTAATAAACGGATGTGTGCCAGATTTATTGATGTCTTCACAAACCAGAAAGCCATATTTTCATCAGCTATTGCTCCAGAAAAAACTTATAGACACAGTTGAATAGTTTTTCAAAGAAAGAAACTAGATTTTTATTTCTTGCTTTTCAAATGCATCCGACGGAAGTATAAATTAGAGTACAGCTATAAAATGGTGCGTCACTTTTTTTTTTATCTCACAAACAATCAAACAACACTCTGACAATTATCGAATATCAAGGTTTCACTAGATGGCAAAAACTAATCGGTTTTTTTCGATGATGACTTGATTTATTATTGTCTAATTTTTGGTTTAATGAATCAAATGATAGCTGCTTTTATTTGTTTCTTTGTCAACCGCTGCAGAGCCATTAGCATTAGACTCATCGAATTCGTACCAACGATAACATAAAATATCTTTTTCTTGACATCAATTTATATTTTTGAATAGTTCATTTAGAAACTTCGATATCTTATGAAGAATCATTGACATTTCTAGATATACTATTTTGTCTAGAAATTATATTGCAATCAACATAAATCAATTAATCAAGAAACAACATTCAATGTTCAAACTAGTCGCAACAATTTGTTCTCATTTTTATTTTATGCTTATCATTTCAGTCTTTTATTAATGATCTACCCTCTTTGTTTTCTTCAAATTTTTTTTTTATATATTCAATAATTTTAAATAAGGTATAATATTCATTTTAGTTTATTTTTTAGCATGCCCTATTTCATGAAGTCTAAGAAAGGTTAAAAAAACCATTCAAAAGAAACAAAAGACATGACAATATTAGCACCGGTTATTATAGTTTATTAAAAAATGTCAAGAAGTTCAGGTCTAGCAAGGGAAGAAGAATGAGAAAAAAAGAGCGATAGGAAAAAATATGTGCGTATTTATTTCTGTTGGAATATGCATTTGTAGGATCACGCCATATGTAGAAGACAGAGATTATCGAAAGAAGATTAGAAGATAGAGCACAAGGTAACCAAGATGACAAAATGATAACTCCAGTCGTCGAGAGTTCCCTTGACAGAAAACAGTAATGTTTATAAATTGACTAGATTATTTAGTTTTCTACAAATTGAATATTAACAAAAAGAAAAATGAAAACAATCAAATAATAGATCAAATGAAAACAGTCGGCAACTACATATTAGTTTTAATTTGATATGTGATAGTATTAATTATGTTTCGATTTGTTTCATATAATTAAGAAAAACACCACTTACCTATGCTTCACTATTCTTCTCTTATCAAAGAATATAATATTAAACAATATTTCATATATTGGTTAATGAAAAAGACATTCGCATGCACTAATTAGAGATCATTATCTATAATAATATAGAAAATCGATTAGAGAAAAAAAAACATACAAAGGAAATGCGTGCACATTTTTTAATCAATGAATATCGAAGAAAAAGTCGTCACATGTGATGATAAATTCTGTGGATTATGCTAATATATCGATAAGAATTTTCACTATTGTCTAAGTTTTCCTTTTGAATAATTAATAGCAAATAGAATATGTTATTTATGAATAATATATTCATTTTTTATTCAAATATGCCATATGTCATGGATCTATTTATCTATTCAATTCATAAAATTTTAAATGTCTGCTCAAATTAAACAATACAACTATAAGATCTTGTATGATTCTTGCAAGATCATATCGGAACTTATACCGTGTGTGATCTTCTATAATTATACAAGACCCTATGAAAATCGATTATGATCTTATGTAAATCTTAAATCCATCGTTTCTGATGAAATCATATTGCATGATTCTTTTATGACATTAATGTTAGATCTTATAAGATTTATAGATGACTTTCCAGAGTTTCTTACAATGTTTTATACCAAATTTTGTCCTATTTTTTCGTAGTCAATTGTTATGATAGGCAGAATGGGAGGATTAGAAAGGCGCTACTCCTTCTTCTTCATCTGTCCTAAAGAAATATTCATTGTAAATAAAAATTTATCTTTTATTACTTCATATACCATTGATTATTGCTATTGAAATAAATCCAGATAAGTAAATTAAAATAAATTTTGCTTCCATTGAATGCGATTGTTAAGATAATCTACAATAAAGAAATAAGTGCTTTGAATGAATGAATGAATGAATGAATGAATGAAAACATACTTCTATTCAATCGAATCAATAAAATGCTCTGTGATGTGATTTCCAAACAGAAAAACACCACTATATAGAAGATGTACGTTCAATTATAAAACGCATAGTATTTAAATTAGAACGTATTCAATTGCACAAAACTATCATTATAAAATCTATTTATGCAAGACAAACTTAAAATTATAATCCTATAAGATCATATTAGATCTTACTAGATTCCGTAAGATCATACAATGTGAATTTTACAACATCCAATTGCTTGTAAAATCATGCACGATCTTTGCAAGATTTTTCTATCTAGATAAAAGACTTCTACTAAACGGTAGATTCATTGATTCATTAAAAACATCATTGTTAAAATTACTTATTCAACTCTTACCTCTCGATCTATTATTGTCTCATTTTATTTCTAATAAAAAAAAAGGTCGTTTCTATGAGCATTTTTTATTCAATAGTAAAAATCATTTAAAATAATGTCCTGTTGACAGACTTTTCTTTTGTACGTAATAAGAAATAAATAAACAATAATTGCTTACTCTCAAGAATTCAATGCTAAAACAATATGTCTTTCTTTTGCAGGTTATGATTTACAAAGCAATCGTTTATAAAGGATTCGTTTGTAAGACGAATTGAAATGAATACGATTTAAAAAAAGTAATAGAGAAACATTTCTGAAACGTATCGAATCACATTCAAGAGTTCATTGAAATAAAAAAAAAACTTTATTTGAGTATCCTTTCATCCGAAAATCTTTCTGAAAATTTACTTGAATGATGATTTTTCAATAGAAATATTTTATTCAACTATTTAATATTATTCGAATAGTGGCTTTTTTCCTATTCTTGTAGTACGACTATTGTATCATTGTCAATGTCAAAGATCATTTGGCTTTTATTTAATTTCTATTAATAAATCTTTAAATAAATTTGGATTATAAAAACTAAAAATAAACCGTTTTTGTTTCTCAATTTCAAACTTGAACAAAGTAAATTTTATATTGAATATTCTCTTAGGTTATTTATCATGTAAATATTTAGATGGAATTTGTTTGCTATGAAATATATGTCATATTTTTTCTACAGACACAATTACAAGGACAATTGACTT